AGGGTCGCAAAACGCATGAGTGGGGATGATGAAGTGGAGGGATAAGAAAATGGATAAGTGGCCAAAAGAACCTCAGAAACATGGCATACAGTGAAATTGTAGAGACTAGCTGGGGTAGCTGTTGTGGACTCCAGCATAACGGTTCGTTGGACGCGTGGGGTGATGGCAGCATACGTGCCAGAACACGAACTGTATAGAAAGTTATTGAATTTTGCTGGATGCAGAGACACACGGAAATGGTTAAATTCGAAAGAAAGTTTAGATGGAATGAACTTGTCTTGGTAACAGAAATGAAAACTTGGCCACAATTTTTCGGTGAGAAAATCTTTTGTGAAATGATTTTTGGCGTAAATCCCAGGCCTGCGATGGATCATAAATCACAGGTGGATAACCCAAATGGGACAGTTTTGACAGTTCCAGTAGAAACATACGGCCTAAACAGTTAACCGGCCACAACATTAGGGCAATTATGTATGACATATCAGCAAGGAGCATCAGACGGGCCACTGCGCTTTTGGGCTGGATCGATTATCATGAGATGGGCACCAGAAGAAAGAGCTACTTAACCATTCCTTTCAAACTAGAAGTTCGTTCCGGAACGAAACAGCGGTTCAGTGGTGAAGACCAATTACTTTTATTTTGTGACTGGATCATTCCATCCACGGAGCTTTGTTTTCTAGACCCAGTTTAGTTTCCCGCTGGATGTCCAGGTCGAAGTTCCACGAACAGCCTCGCTTGCGGCTAGGCTTTCTGGCCCGGTATAAAAGAACAAGTAGAGCAGGTGCTTTGGAGTCGTTTGGATGTTAATAGCGGTTTACTGACAACAAACAAATTAAAAACTCCAAAAATGTTTCACGGCAGAAGGTTTTTCAGAATTCGGGTTTACGTGCACGGCCATTAGCGGAACCCCAAAACCACATCATCATGAATTGTCGCTCACCGCAGATGCGTATTGTAACATCAATGGGTTCAGATAGTTTCAGGTCTAATCATGTTATTTGGACAAACTTTCCATTATATTCCGCCTCGAAGTATTATATCCTCACATGCATTTTTGCTTTTTGTGACTCTGGCCATTTTTCAAACTCCCGAAGCAATTCGTGGCTAGCAATGGTTTTCATTTTAATGTGTCATCTTTGAACCAGTCGTACCCCACCCCTAGTTTTCGGTTGCGCCACTGTGGTGACTTAATGTAACGAGCACGACCCCATTGGTTGGATCTTCATACCGGTTATGTTGTTGCTTGCCGTGTTCAGCTTAAAACGAGCGATCGTGCCTTAATCGGCATGTTCCACACAAGTTGAGAAAGAAACGTATTATCATTAACCGTTTATTTGTTCCTTACGGTGTACTCAGTTCACACAGAATCTACGCAATAACTAATGATGACTAATGCGCCATCCAGCGACTATGTGTAACTACGCCGTCACAAATGAGGTATTTATTCGTGCATGTCAATTTGTATGGGACGAACCAAGAAGAGGTTGTTTACGAGGTTGTGGTAATAGCATCAGGCGTTTCCCGGTTACTGGTCCCTTTAGTACATCCACTCAAGGAAGCATCGTCTTCCGCGCCAATTGGCTTAAGCTACTGTGCTTAGGCTGAACAACGGGGGAACTCCTTGGTCCCTTGGTAGCCACACAGATCAACAGAAGGTGAATGTGTGGGAATCATCCGATTTGTTAATCTTTTTTTGGAACGAATTGTGTGCTCCAAAAACTAACTGTCAAACTACCTTACATGGTCAGTTTGATAATGCTTCATCGTGGGCGTGCGTGGGTCAGTTTGATCCGGAGTTGTCAACCGTTGAGCCACGCGAAGCACATTGTCGCTTCCCAACTTTCTCGCTCGTCACATTAGTAAGAGGTCTGCATCTCATGCTCGCACATGTGTCATCCTTTGTGCCGCGAGACCCCTTGGATCGCACGTTCAAGATCGTCGGCTGATATACACGCATTTTCTAAATCCCGTTGACTTTCTCAAGACGGTTATTGGTTACGTTTCCAAACTGAACCGACCCGCTCCGTGCATGAACAGTCCACTCGCGAGCAATCAGTGAGCACGCAGATGTGAGACGAACCGTTGATTGGTTCTCCACGGTGCACTCAAATCACAGAATCTACTCGAGTGTGATCCGATGA